ACTTTCCCATGGACAGTCATTTAAAGCTTCTGTCTCACAAAATATCTTTTCCTTCCTCTTTTCGATTTGTTTGGAATTACAGTTCCTTTCCATTTATCAAAACATACAGTCCTCTACTCCTCAAACGCCTTCAGCTGTTACAAAATCATGCAAATAAGTCTCACCCTCACCTTTGTACACAATTGTGTGCTGATTTCTTTACACTGCAAAGGCTGCCAGGAAGACTTTTTCAAACATTCCTTACTTACACAGTAAGATTGATCTGAAGTTGTGTCCAAGATCTCAGTTTGAACTTCAAAGCAGGCAAGCACTCCTGACCTGAGGAATGGCAACAGCATTTTGGAGTGGATCTCTGGCACTCCATGCCTTGCTGGGTACTCATTTTAGTGGCACTTCTTTCTGACTGGCTTAAGAGCTGTTTCCTTCACCTAACAAAGACTTTCTGTCCTTGCAGGAACAAAGCGGGTTGGCTGGACAGCGAACTCAACATGTTCACACATCAGTACCTGCAGCAAAGCAGATAGTGTGGGAAGGAGAGAAAAAAAAAGTTTCCCTTCAGTGCTCTCTTAATTACTGCAGAGAACATGGTGGGTGATGGAATTCCCTAAAGGGAATGAGCAAGAGCCTATTGCTATGTTTCCAGTTGCTGTGTGAACAATAGGATTCTGCTTCCCTGTTCTGTGTCCCACCTCTAAACACTAGCTGTTAATAACTCTTCTTTTTCCTTCCTGTGAGACCAGGCTACTTCAGGAGGAATGTGTGCTTCATACATTTACAGGGGGCTTTTGCTGCACTTCATTTTGCTTTAAACAAATTTAAAGCAAACAAGAAAGATCTTTATCAGGTTAAAAAGTTATTCTGACACCTCTTTATGGAGTCATTTGTTTTACTACATAAAGACAGAGCTTTTGAGTTCCAAGCCCCAGGTGGGGGTGTGAGTGACAAGCAGCTGTTTGTCTAAACATGCACACAGATGTGGTGGTGGTTTCACAATGCATTTATAGCCCACACAGGCCTGTCTCCTGGGTTAATATTCTGTTATTCTAGAACCTGACACAGAATCCCAATGTCCCTTCATAGAAAGGTTTATTGCTGTCAGTATGCTTAAACCTCTGAACAAAACCCAGTCCTCTTCCAGAGAAAGAGGGATTAAGATTTTGCTTTGGTAAGCTTAGTGGCTTTGGAGTTAGTTTCTTCCTCTTAAGAGCTCTTTAATAACAGTCTGGCCCATTTCCTGTCACGGACAAGTAGTTTGCAAAGACAGAACTAGTTCCTGTGAAGGAGGTAGTGCCGATAATTTGGCTGCTTGTTGAGGAAGGAAACTAGGAAGGAAAAGCCAGTTGACAGAATGTAATGAACTGCCTTACGAGCTAAGTCAATGAATGTGGGTTTTCTTTGGAAATGCACAGCTGTGTTTCTGGAAGCAGGCCTTTGGAATTCCATTACCACTCTCTGGCCACAAGAACAGCACGTGGATTACACGCTGTAAGAGATTTTGCTTCATGCAGAGTTCCCACAGGATGTCTCAGTCTGGGCAGCAATAGGATTTGATGATGTTTCTCTTCTGTTAAAAGTATGAGAACAAGCTGGCAGGTACAGCTCCTCGGGGGTGGGGGGAGTTGTGGCCCTTGTAGTTCATGCCAGGGCAAGAATGGGTTAATGCAACTTTTTTTTTTTTTTTTCCCCAAGACATTCTTTATTTGCAAAGAGATGAAATGAATTTTTGAGTTTTGCCCTGAAGCAGTTATGAATTTGGAATATAAGATTTGGGAATTGTAAGGATTTGAGTCTCTTCCTGTTGAAATTGATAGAGAAGAAATTCTCACTGATTTTAGGAGTAGTAGGATATGTTTCCTCTGTTGTTTGGAAAGTTTCTTTTCCTCTTTGTGGGTCAGTATTTTGCCATGTGTTGGGTATAACCTTTCTGTTGCCCACAAAATGCCTGAGGAATCCAGAATCGGATCCTGTAGTTCTAGGGTTAGTGACAACCTAAATCTGTTCAGCATCACACACATAGAATATGGACTGCATTTAGAACTACTGAGCAGTGGGGTGTTCTTATTGACAATGAGACTTTTCCCTTGAAAATGGCCTTAGGATTTCTCATTCCTGCTCAGGTGTGCCTGTGACAAGTCCCCTGTTTCTTGTGTCATGGAAGGTCCAGAAAGAAGCTGCCTGATACTTGAGGGAGTAAAAATAGTGAAATGTCAGTAAGTACATCTTAGGTAAGGCTGTTCTGAGATTTGCAGTAAGACTTGAAGTACTTTGTGTTGGAGCTGGTGGTGAGACTCTTATGTGTCCAGAATGCAGAAAGAAAACAAACCTCTCCCTTCCAGTAGACAGCCTCGACTCCAGCTCAAATAAAAAGCTGTTTTTATCAGAAGGCTTCATTGGCCTTGGCTGGGTTCCTCAGGTAGCCACCAGGACATAAATATAGCTTGGATCAGATCTGAGAACGAGCAAGAAAGAAATCTGAGTCCTTGCCTCTGGAAGTCTGTGCTCTGGGCGTGTGGTGAAGTATACTGGAGTAAGTGGATCATCCCTTACTCTGCTGGAGGTATTATTTGAATTAATTTGGATCTCTGGTCTCTCAAGCTATCACATACACAGTTATAAGCTATGTACTCTTCTGCTGAGTTAAAACATTAAGCACATCCCTCATACACCAGGAAATTGTCAGTGCCAGGTGGAGGCAGAGGGTGATGTACTATTGCTCAGCAGCTCATGACTACTTGAAATGCTGACCTTGCTTTTGAAGACCTGTCAGCATCTCTTCAGCAGGCCTTTAGGGGAAATCTGATAAATGAGCTTATCTTTAAGCCAGTGTCTTATCTGTAAAGGGAAAAGAGATTGATGGGTTCTTGGAACCTGGAGTCTTGGTGCTGTGTGTGCCTCTGATGCTGCTCAGCTTTGGGTGGTGTGTTCTCACTGCAGAGCTGACACAACCTGCAGAACGGGGGAAAGAACCACGTGGAGTTTTTCAGAAGCAAAACTGCTAACAGGGGAGAGAAGAATTTTTAATATGTGTGTAACCCTTGTCCCTAGAAGCCTGAATGATAGAGAATCAAACTTTTAACAGACAGGCCTATGAGCTGGATTCCTCTGAAACACATTAACAGCTGCACTTCTTTAATTCAGAGTGGTGGAGGAATGAACACTGTCGGGAGGAGGCTGTTCTCTTCTGATTTAATAAGGAAGGCTAAACTAATCTGTAAAACAGGTAATTCCAAAAACAGTCTCCCCCAAAACTCCCATTAAAGAAGGTCAGCTAAATGCACTTTTATCTTATTGCTGCTACTTTTCCCGTTGCGTTACGTTGATGGAGCTCTTCAAAATACTCTTACCAGCGAGTTTATTCTCTGCTGTATTTAAGGTGATAAATTTGCATGAATTAGTCCTGTAACAGTGCTGTAAACAATGGAAACCAAAATAAAAATGAATTGGAAAAAACAGTTCTCCTGACGTGTCCTGAGTGTTGTGACACACACAAAGTCTTCCAGTGTAAGTACATCTATTTCAGGTGTGTTCCATGTGGTACTGAGGTGCATGTTTGCCACCAGTGACCACCTTCTGTGCTCTTACTTCGAAAGTTAACAAGGAGACTGATTGTAAGGTTAGAAAACCCTTCTTGAAGAATTATGGGGAGGAGATTAGAGCTTATCTTGCTTAAGGAAGCTTTCCTGCCTAGAAGAGGCATCTTTCCCCAGAGACAGTTTTAGATGTTTTCTCCTCTTGCATTCCCGAGAAAGACTCCCTGGCATGAGAAAAAGATAAGTCCTGCACACATGACAAAGGCCCCCCCACAGAGGGAGGGGCAGAAACTGTAAAAGCCCTGAGAAGGGTGTTTGAAGTGCCATTAGGATTAATGTTCTCCTAAGTCCAGTGTTCTCGACTTTGGAAATAAATTTTCCTACAATCCTTCCACTGCCTTTCACAGAATCACAGAATCAGCAAGGTTGGAAAACACCTCTGAGATCATCAAGCCCAACCTTTGACTCAGCACCACTTTGCCTACTAGCCCATGGCACTCAGTGCCACATCCAGTCTCTCCTTAACCACCTCCAGGGACGGTGACTCCACCACCTCCCTGGGCAGCCCATTCCAGTGTCTCATCACTGTCTCTGGAAAGAATTTCTTCCTGATGTCCAACCTAAACCTCCCCTGGCGCAGCTTAAGGCCGTGCCTTCTTGTCCTGCTGCTGGTTGCCTGGGAGAAGAGCCCTGGGAGAAGAACCTCCTTCCCGTCAGGGAATTGTAGAGAGCAATGAGGTCTCCCCTGAGCCCTCGGCGGCAGCTGCGTGTTATCCTCACACCGACGACACTGAAAGTTTTAGTCGCACTAAAACTGTCGGTATTGAATCGACGATTTCTCGAGGACACCGGAGGAACCAACGGCCAGCGACTGTATCGGTCAGTGCCTTCTGTTCTCTCGCCTTACGAGGGGCAGCCTCCCCTGCGGGCCCGGGCGGGCGGTGCCGGCCCCGCGCATGCCGGGAGAGCCCGGGGCGGGCCCGGAACGGGGAATCCCGGCGGCTGCAGCGGGACCGGCACGGCGGGGGAGCCCCCGGAGCCCCCGGGGCCCGGAGCGGCGGGGACGGCCCAGGTGGGACGGGGAACGCGGCGGGACGGGCGGGGGGAGGAGGGAGGGCTCGCCGCTGCCAGCCCGGCCTCTGGAAGAGGGAGGGGAATTTTGCAATGCTCGGGGCTCCCTCCCCTTCCTCGTGGGCGCGGGAGAGCCGAACCAGCGCCCCTGCCCCGGAACAGCCCGCGGGGCCGGACAGCTTCCGCGCAGGAAGCTCGGTCTCGGTTCCCGAGACAACCGTCACTGATCTTTAACTGCGGGAAGCGAAGCTCCTCCTCACAGAGGATTCGGGCTAGAGCAGGTTTTCATAAACTTGAGCTTCTCGTAGGTTGTGCCAAGAGTCGACCTCATCTGGTAAAACCCTTCCAGAAAGTCCCTTGGCCGGTGTTGTTTTCGGAGTGTTTGCTCTCCGGTGAGCGGTGGTGAGAGGGTGCTCATCAAAGCTGTCAGCTTTGTCCTGGGGAGGCTGCGAGAACCGCTGGTTCTTGTCAAGTTTTCTCAAATTTAGTGCCTCAACAGCGATATTTCTATTTTCTGTCCCGTACCGCACCTCTCACTTATTTCCTGTAGCAAGAAGATATGTTGTTGTTTGTTAGCGCTGCTCTCCACTCCTCCTAGTGCCCTTGTACCACGTTTGATTCTCCGTGTCCGGTTGCCAAGGGAGCAAACACAAAAACAAATCAGATGAGCTTTGGAGAAGGGTTTAGGGATCTTTCCGAATGAAATGTCCTAGAAAACCATATAGTTTTATTGAGAACATAATTCATCAATCTGATCAAAAGCAACGTGGGAGTTTGGGTTTAGGGTTTGCTTCTGCTTTATTTAAAAATCCGCTTTTTGCAAATTTAGAGGAGCTTGTGATGTTGTGAAGATGTTGAACAGTGTGACAGCTTTCCAGTCAAACTAGACTTTATTTGTTTATCTATTAACTCCTTTTCACCCCCTTGTGGGACTTAAGGTAGTTAATTTATGGGATTGGAATTGCCCAAGACCTTGTCCTGAGTCATAATTGAGCCTTTTGGAGCCTTTTGGAGCCTTCCTGCCCGGGGGATATGGAGGAGAGTTTTGACTCAGTATTTCTTTTGGATGTAGCAAATGCATTCATGTTGGTTAGTCATATCTTGAAGTTATGAACATCCTGGGTTTATCAAAATACAAATTTCAATGTTCAAAAGAACATTAAAGCAGAATTGCATAAGAATATCCTAATTAACAGCCTCTGAACCAAATGTGTCTTATTTAGCTTTTTGATGTGACTTTTTCATGTGTGCTGTTTCCTCTGTCAGAGTTTCTTGTCTCTGTTCAGTCAGCTCCCAGTTTCTGAGTGCAAAATACTTGACGGTCCATCCGAGGGGAGAGAAGCTTGAGGAGGTGCTGGTTCTTAGCATAAGGAGTTTGGCTGATTTCTCGGGAGAAGGGATCAACACTCCAACATTTCAACAGCTGTAAGTGGGTTTTAGGAAAAATCCCCTGAAGGTGGTTTCTCCCGTGTCTGCTTCTTCGCTTAATTCTTCCATTTGTGTGGTTCCCCCTTCCTCTGGCTTTACAGGAAAAGGGTTGTCTAGGATGGACTTAGAGCTTCTGAAGAGGCTGCGTCAGGCCAACCAGGACCTTCTGCAAAGGCTCACAACAAAGCAGGAGGAGATCAGGAAAAGAGTTCCCAGCAAGCCACTCCTTCCAGCATCTGTTCTTTGCCACAGAACTGCTGAGGGATCTGTCCCCTGGCCCAGGAGAGGGGTATGTGTGGTGTCTGTGCTAGAAATTCTGGGAAGCAAATGGGCCTTTTGGGACAGCAGCTCTGCCTGTGGTGTGGGAAAGGAGTCATATGGACATGGAGGAGCTGGTAGAAACTGGAATGTGGAATAGGGAGTCTGCTAGAAAAGTAGCTGCCCTTTGGTTGTTGTTTATCCTGTGGTCTCAGTCTGTTCTCCTTGCAAATAATTCAGCTCCTGCCTAAGACATGCAGGTTTCTTCATCTAAAATAGGAATGAACATTGTGGAACAAAATCCTTTTGTTTCTTGTAAGCAAAAGGGCTGAAAGTTTCGTGGTTCCTCAAACTGGGAAAAGCTGCATTTAGCTGGAAGTGGATCTCTTTCTTCTCCAAATAAAAAGGTCTCACAAATCAACAGTAGGATTTTTCTTTTTATCCCTCAGGAATTTAAAGGGGTGAGCAGACTAGAACGAGAGGTTAATTTTTCACTTAGTGAGTGAAATGTCCTAATGAAAGGTATTTGTAATGTGACTGATGCCATGTGTTGTGAGGGTCTCTGTCCTTACAGAAGGAGAATCAGGTGGATGCTGACCCTGGAGTGGTGGTGTCTGTGGAACCCAGAGCACGCACAGCCAGAGCAGCCCTCAGTTCACCTCTGAAACACAGCAGCAGGGACAGAGAGCTACAGCAACAACAAGCAAAGGCACAGGAAGCAGCAGGTTTGGATTCCAGCTATCCTGGGAAAGAGAAGAGTGTTATTCCAGTGTCTGCAATCATTCCATGTGGCAGAGAAGCCTCCAGAGTGGATGGGGATGGCCATGCTCGAGGAAGTCCAGAGAAGGAATCCTTCCTCCTGGGACTTGGAGAGAACAGAAAACAGTCTGCTCTGCTCCGTGGTTTCCATGAGAAGAATCATCCAGACCCATCACTGAGCAGAGTGCAAAATGAAGAGCCCAGTGAGCAGCACGTGGTCAGCAGAGAGCCCACGATGCCTAAATCAGTCCTGGTGACATCCCGGGCCAAAGAGTTGAAGGTAAATGTCAAACCAGTGCTTTGCTTATTTTCCTGAGTCAACAGAAGGATGGGGAAGAAGGGCCAGGAGAACATGACTTGCCCCGTTCCCACTGTGTAAATGGGAAGTTGGGGCTGGAACTGTTCCTGGGTGTAGCAGCCAGGGGCTGTTGGCAGTTTGTTCAGGCCCTGCTTTCCTCAGCCAGTGAAATGAAGACCAGAAAACTGTCACACTTGACTGTGAGACTGCCTGTGTTTGCATGTGTGATCCATGTGCTGAGGGAGAACAGCCAGGGGCAGTGCTGCTGCTGCAGAGTTTGTTCCCCCGGATGTGAAGGGCAGGCTCTGCCCCTGATCATCCTCCAGGGCAGCACAGGTTGCCTAATCTTTGGGGATGTGCATTGAGGGGCCTCAGTATTTTGTTTAAAGCTCTGAAAAATCCTGCCTTATACCTTGTCAAGTCCCCTCTTTCTGTTGTATTTATTGAGAAGGCAAAGGGCTGTTGAGCTAATCACTGGTAGAGGCACAGATAGAATCCAGCCTCAAACTAAGTCACAGCTGTCCCATTTGAGCAGTTGCCAGTTGTTTCCTCAGCTGTACCTTTGAATGTCCTACTGAATGACTAAGAAGTCTTTATGAATTGTTTTCTTCCCAGAAGAAAGCTCATCATGTGACTTTTCAGCCTGAGCCTGAAGAAGATGCCACACCAGTGGGCAGCTGGTCTGCCCGTCCTTTCCTGGGCTATGACTGGATTGCAGGTGAATCCTAACCCTGAAGCAAAGCTCTCAGCAGGGTGGGGTGGTATGAAGAGTTAAAACACAGTTTATGACCCCTTTAAGTTGAGGAGTGGTGGGACTGCTGTCCTCGAGTCCGTGCAGAAAGTGTCAGCAGAGGGGCTGCAGCTCTGTCAGAGGCTTTTTCCTGTCCAGACATGACCTGTGTTTCCCTGGAATGGTGAAGTGGCAGTGGTATGAGAGAATCCAGAATCCAGGCAGCAAATGGCAAAGCCTCGTGGGGTCAGGGAGGATACCAAATAACTGGAATGAAATAAGGAAGTCAAACCACACAGTTAATCTGTGGTTTGACATCATGGCCTGCTCTTCTCATTACCATTATTTTGTTCTGACTGCTTTTTGTGAGGCTGGGTTTGGTGCTTTCCAAAATTTGATAAACCCTTGAACTCTCCTGTCTCCTTGGCCTTCTCAGGGCTCCTTGATACAAAGTCTTCAGTAACAGAAAAATCTGAGCAATACTTTGCTGAGCTGCAGCAGTTCCGACAGGCCAACAGAGAAGCTTGTATTGATGAGCAGGACCTGGAGTAAGTGGGGATGGGGAAGGGCTGGAGCAGCAATGCAGTAATGAGAGCCTTGGAGTGGGACATTGTAAGGGTGGCTTTGAGGGCCTTTATTTACCTCCCAGGCATAAATGTGTGCTTGGAAAAGGCTGGGCTGCTCAGAGGACCCTCCCCTCTGTCACCAGCTGATCTCTCTGTGTGTTTCTTTAGGCCCAAGGCTCTGGATTGCACAGTTCCTGAACAAGAACCAGATTTGATAACCAGTTCCCATAAGTGTAAGATCACATTTCTTCCTACTCCAATTTCTGTGAAAAAACAACTGTGCAGTCTTTGTCATCCTGAGAGAGCAGCACATCATGCAAGACAAGGAAGAATGTTATTTTCAGCTACAGCTCTTCAACCAGATTCAACTTCCTACTCCAAAGGCACTTGAGTCTTCTCTCAATCACTGTCATGTTAATCTGTCAGGGTTTTTCATAGTTGGCTAATGTTCTGTTTTTAGGTTGAGGTTGAAGTTTTGGTTTTGCTTTTTAGGAACTTACTTGGGAACAGGAAATGTAAAAGATATTTGAGGAAAGGCAGCTCTTCTTATAGAATGCAGGTGTGGCACTGTGGTAGAACACAGCTTTGTTGGCTGGTTTGAGGAACCTTCTGACAAACAAGGAATGTGAAGTTTGGTGGTTTGTTGTTCTGTGCAGGTTTTTACTGTTACCGGTTAAACCAGCGCCTGTTCCCTGTCCCTGTGGATCCAGAATCTGCCTGCCCTGTGTGTAAGATCCCACGTGCCCACCAGCCCCCAGGGACACTGGAAGAGCCAGCCCATGTCAGGTAAATAGGAGTTACTGCCTTGTAACATGCAGAACTCAAGGAAACAATAGGGAAGAAAAAGCTGATCAGGTGAAGGAGAAAACAGCATCACAACAGCTCTGTAGAAGGTTGCTGTTCTCAAGGCAGAGATACAACTTGCTTAAAAATTCCTCACTGATCTTTTCCATGAGCACAAACAGTTTTGAAGTCAATGAGAAATGCCTGTTTAAACCAAATTTGGTTCAGAGTCTGAACATGAAGTGTCTAATGCCCTGATCCAAAACTGTTTTACTTGGTTCACTTTGGGATTAGACCCTTGGATTCTGAGTGGGGAAGGCAGATTTCCTCTGCCTTGTCAGAGGTGCAGGCACTTACTTCCCTTGTGTGGTTGCAGGGTCAGCATTCCCAGGAATACCCTTTTGCCTGCCCACAAGTACAAAGCCCATCGCAGGAGGAGCTTTGAGCCAGCAGACGATCTGGCCTTACCCTCGGTGAGTTGCTGTTCTGGCTGGTGGCACAGCCCAGGCTGGGCATTGCTTTGAGAGGGAAAGAAAATCTGTGACTCATTGCCCTGGCAGGGTTTCCACTAAAATTTCTGACCTGTGTCACTGAGGCAGCAAACCCATTGGTGTGTTCTGAGTTAGTGCCTTTGTGGAAGTGGCACAGAGTGTGTGACATACTTCCAGTGCTTTACACTGCATGAAGGAAAGTACCACGTGGAGCTGTGTCCTTCTGGGGCAGATTTGACTGACTCAACGTGGTGATCCACACCTAAGAGTGCCTGTGTTTCCTTCCACAGGTGTGAGGGAGTCTGGAAGGAGAGCATCCATGAAGCATACACAGTGTGATCAGTAGTGACAAGGGGTGGATTTCAAACTGTTATTGTAGAGCTGGTCCTGTATTCCAGCCAGTAACCAGTGCTAGGTGGTATTGCTAATCTGACCCTGGCCTCAAGATTTCCAGGGAAGAGGTGGGAGGAAACTTAGTTTTGAGGTTTAGGGAACTGGATGAGTCAGTTGAGACAGGTTCAGAGAGGTCGGGTGCTTGAGTTCACAAAGCAGGAGATCAGCTTAGAAGTAACCAGCCAGTGAAAGGTGGAAGAGGAGAGGGACAGTTTTGCTTCATTAGAGATTTCATCATTTTCCTGTTAGTCATATAAGACTCCTCAAAAATTAATTAATTATTTTAACAATTGCTAAAGCTTCCCTGTGCAGAAATTATTATTTAGAACTATTTTTAGGCCACAATAGATACAAAAGGGTAGAGTATTTCCATCTCTTTTCACAGCACTGCCTGGCTGGCTGGGAAAACATCATCCCCCCAAGCAACCCCAGGCTCAGCAGTTTGGATCTGAGAGCTTCCCTGGAAGAGAGGCCTTCTCCCCATCCTCACCTGGTAAGCACAGCCTCCAGAGTCCCTGGAGATGCTGGGAGTTGCACAGATGGAAATTGCTGTCCCACCTCTAAAGGGTTTGATGATTATCAAGGGCTGAGCAAACGAAAATTTATCACCACTGGGAAACATTTTCCTTCTTCTCAACCAGCGTGCACAGGGACAAAAAAACAAGGGGCAAAACGCCTGTTCAGCTCACCAGAGTTCATCAAAGTCACTGTGGCACTCTTTGATTAATACCCTCTTCATTTGGCTTCCAGGACTCGCTGCCCAGAGTGTCAAGAGGAGCTGAGGAGCCCCTGCCCCCCTCGGCACGTCCCAGGTCCAGCAGTGCCTCCCCCCGGAGGAAGCAGAGCAGGCGGGGACGCCGGAGAGCAGCTCCCGGGTTAGACCAGGCTGGTTTAACCTCAACTCTGTGAACCACAGACTTGTCTGCCCGGGGGAAGGGGTGGCCACAGCACGTGGGAACAACTCACAGACGAGGCCATTCGGATAAAAAAATGAATCTTGGCACAGATTTTGCCCGATGGGTTTCCGCCACGCGCGGTGACCGGTGCGGGAGTTTGTGCAGTCCAGTGGGGGGGTTCACTTCTCTTTTTTGCCTCTTGCAGCTGCTCCTGAGAGCTGTCCCACCTGGGGCTGGCTAAAGGGGTGTGCCCGGGATGAGTAGGGACAGCCATGGTAGTCCTGCCACCTCAGCCGAGTCACCACCAGTGTAACTCAACTCCTGAGTGCCAGGGGAGGAACTGGCCTGTGAAGGGCCTGGTTCAGTGGAGTGACACGAATATGGTGATTTCCAGACGTTTGAAACATGACACTTGAGTTTCTAGTGCCTTAAACTTGAGTTCCTGAATAATTCAGTTAAAATTTAAAAAATCCTATTTATTTTCAGTGCAATGTGTGTAGCTACAGAGTAACTATGAGTGTGAAAAAAAACATGTTAAAATGAGATTTTATTCATTAACAAGCTAGATAATGTTAAAGCCTTAAAATGTTTGCAAATTGTGCTTGCCTCTGCTTTTGCAAGTTCGTTGGGAGATAAACCAAAAAACATTCTGGAGTTTTTAAATTGTACCAAAACAAAATACATTTCATAGTACAATTAATTTGAACTTCATGGACTGATCTTACTTTCCTTGCCTAAAACCAATAAAACTGATGTTTTATTTTGCCTTGAATTTTCTGAAACAGAAATTCCTTCCTCAAATGTATTTCTGGGACTGACTTGAGAGGATGGTTTTGCAGAGAGAAATGGTTTATGCAGCTTCTTGGCATTCACTGTTATTTTTATATCAAATACATTATTTATTGAATCAAATGTATGAATAGACTTTTTTAAGCAGACAGGAATATTGCAAGATGATGAAATTTTAATGTAAGACTTGGAATGGGAAATGAAAAGCTAAACTGACTAGTTTAGCTTTGAGTTGTGCATCTGTAGGGTGAAGTGAATGGAACTGGCAATGTGATTTCCATTATTGGAAATACTAATTTTAAAAGAGATTAATCAAGTGACTATAAAACACTAGCTGCCAAATTTTAAACTGAATAGGGCAAATTCAACATTTTTACTACATTGCCTAGCCCAAAACACTAAACATTAACCTTAATTAACCTTTTATTGATTTATCCTGAAATAAATTACAGCAGGTCTGCTCCACTCTATCACAGAAAAGTTGCTGCTGTAGATTCAGTAAATGATGTGAATCTGTCTGCTGGATGCAGGTGGGAACCAGGTGAATTCAAAATGCCTCTTGATAGCTGGGAATACATCAGTCTCTTACACTTGTGAAAGCATTGGAAGTGAGATTGTGGCTCTTTCTCCCCTAGGAACAGGTGAAAGGAGTCGGTGACGCTGCCCCTCCTCACCCAGGTTTGTCTCAGGGGGTTGGTTCTGGCCTCTGTGATCCTGCCCTTTTTTGCAGGCTGGAACAGACTGAAAATGCTCCTGTTTGTGGAACCTTTTCCTTTTTCTTAATTCCTGTCCCCCCACATCCCTCCATTGCACAGCCTCTGGAGCAGTGATGACTCCCAGGCCTGCACGAGCTGCCTTTCAGCCCCGTGCTGTGAGGAGCAGTTTGTGGAGACAGGAATGTTTTATAGTGTAATAACGAGGTTTTGCACAGTGGCTTTGTCCTGTAGTGTGTGACACAATCCCAGATAATGCACCCTTCCATGCAGGAGGGTGACTGATGTCACCTGGGGGTGCATTGTGAAGGAACTCATCTATTTACTGCTTGGAAAACTGCATTTCCTCCAGTGTTAAAGCAGCTTCAGCACTTGGACAGTGATGGAGCCAGTGCTGGGATCAGCACTTCCAGGGAGAACAGAGGCTGGGGGTGGTGTGTTGGGGTTGTTTGGATTGTGGGTCAGGAAAATGGGAACGTTTTGAGATTGGGGGTGTCTGGAAAGGAGACGAAGCAGAACTGAGATGGGTGAGACCTTTGCTGATCTGGGGCTCAAAATGTGTAAAGGAAAAGTTCCCAGTAACGTCCCAGTATATCCAGGGCTGTCCTAAGGCACAAACTAATACAGATACTGGACTTTGTTGTGCAGGCACAGGGCTCTGGGACAGCTTGTCCCTTGCTCCTGGAGGTAGGCTTGGCCTGGATTTATATTTTTTCCCATTCCTGGCACTTGGGAACGTGCTACTTTAACCTGGGCAGCTGTGTGTCCTGCTGAAGGCTGACTCAGTGTGTGTGTGTGCTCGTTTGTGTCAGCTCTCTTCTGCCTGATGCTTTGATGGTAAAGCCAGTGGGTAAAGCCAGTGGTTTAGTTCCCCTTTCTGACTGTATTGCATGTCCATAACACTGATTCATGGGGTGGGAAATCCAGCTTTGCTTAATTAGGCAAATGAGACACAGTAAATGATGCATTAGTGATTGGTTTGAACAGAGATGTGTAGTTAAAACCCAGCTCCCATCTGCTTCTCAGAACCAATGTCAGACTGTCACTGGTGTTTGTGTTTGCTCTCTCTGACTATTTTAAGATAATTTTGGTGATATCTCAGGATCAGGTGTTTCTTGCTGTCAGTACATTGTAAGAATTAATATCAGGAGTGTTGAATGAGTGTAGTGCTGATTTCTGGCTTCTGTTTCGTTCTCAGCAGGCAGGCAGGGACTGTCTCCAGAACCCTCAGGTGAAACATCCGCGTGTGGCACGAACTCACTTTCTCAATCATTTGCAGACTTTGATTTTGGGGCCTTTCATCTCTTTGGAACTTTTGTTTTCAGAGCCCAGAAGAATTTATGTTCAGTGTGTGTCGAGTCTGAAAACACAACAGAAGTTCTGCCCCTTCTCTTTGGAGTTAAAAGGCTCCATTTCACCAGTTTCCTGGGTAGTAGCAGACCAAACATTAGGACTTGGTTTTCTCCTTCAGCTGGTGTATTCCATTGGTTCTGCAGAGCAAACCTTGCTGCTGGGAAGAGGAAAATAACACCCTAAATTGTCAGGGTTGAGATGCTCAGCTGTAGTCATTAAAAAAAAAAAAAAAGTTTCACACTCTTTGAAAAAAAATGCATCCTGAAAATCTTCCCATTTGTTTCTTTCACAAAAATTATTTGATATTTCCCAGCTTTCTTTTGTTTGTGTCAGCAAAGGAAATCTCATCTGGCTTCTGTTATTAGGTAAGCTTTGAACTCAGCTTTTAGATGAGGAGAACCAGAGTATCAAGAAAGGATTTGAGTTACCCAAAACATCTGTGACAGTACTGGGGACTAATGAGTCCCACTCCTGTGTTTTAACTCCCTGGCCAGTCTTCCCCAAACGTTTTTTTATTTTCAAATTTGGATTTAAATGTAGAGAATTGAAACTGTTGGTGCTTTCCCAGTTCCCTCGATCGAGAGCTTTGCCTGTGGAGAATGACCATGTGGAACCATCCCACCCCTCCAGGAGCTGTAGTCAGAATTACTGAAAGTACAGACATGATGTGATCTCCCATCTAAGGTCATTTCTCTCTCTCTCCCAGCCTGTGGGCATAGTAATTCTGTGATATGGTTTTGGTTTCCTTCATGGAAGCCAAGCCTTTCTTGAGAGAACTGAGTTCTCTGTCAGCTCTTCTCATTTTTCAGTCTGACTCAAAATGTACTTTAGTTTTGAAGCTACTACAGGCCAGAAAAAGTCATTTTATACACATTTATTTTGTTACATTAGTTATTTTATCACTTTATGTTAGGCAGTAGTATTAGTTGAGATAACAAAAACAGTTATAAGAACTTTGTTATCCACATAAAATTTATATACATGACATCTGCAAAAGAAATCTAATTGAAAATTAAGCCATGTTATCTGTATTATTAACATGATAACCTTTATTTTCCCGATGGTAACTCTTGTTTTAAGCCATTGCTACATTTCAACAAGTGGACAACAAGAACTTCACACCACCTTCCTTGTTGAGGACAGTGGACAAACATAGCAATGTAAATTGCTGAATCAATACAGCTCTGCAAGTCACGTTCTCAAGAGCATCTGGAACGTATTTAACACAGTGCAGAGTGGCTGAAGTGCCAAAATTAAATGGATTGACAAAGACTTAACACTAAGAAGAAGAGAACTGTATGTGCCAGCAAATAAATATCAGTACCAGAGTGATGGAGTAGAGGGACACAATTTGGCCAGTCTGTGGCATACTGGGCATAACTGAGATTTTATTCCTTTTAACGAGTGTCATTTCAGTGCTGTGTCACTGCAGGCAGTTCAAACCCTGATGGCTCCCTCACCTCATGAAGTGTCTCAGTGAGATCACGTTGCACCAGTGCTGCCCTCCCTCCTGCCTGTCCTTTCTGGGCCATGGAGAGATTTCCAGAGAAGTTCAGTCCGTTGGCTTCCCTTGCCATGCCCAAAATCACTGGGCTCCTGTGTGTTGTCACCACAGTGTCACTTTGCAGGATGCCCAGGGACAGAGCTCCCCCATAATGCACAACGAGGTCAAGAAAGTAATTCTTGGGTTTTTTCCTTTCTTCGTTTTTTTTTTTTATTTATTTTCCTTCTTTTAACCGTGAGATTCTCTGTGGTTTTTATTGCAGGAAATGCCTTCGTTTCTCTTCTCTTGTTTAATTTATACCCCCAAAGTGCACGGCATTTTTCCCAACAAGCACTGCCTTTGGTGCTCCTGGTGCTCCAGAAGCCCCTGGAGTTTCAGGGTCTGGTCTTGTTCCCCCTGGCTAAGGAGCAAGAATTTGGTGATGTTTTTTCTCAGCATACTGCAATGCTCCAAATAGCAACACTGACAGACACTGAAATACAGATTTTAGACAAGGTGTTTTAATATGTGTCCTTTCAAACTTCATGGCCTCTTTTATCTCTTGGACAAGGGTTTAGAGATGACACTTCTCTCTGTGTGTTTTTCCTCTGATACAGCTGGACCCATATTAACTGAACATACATATTTAAACCCAGGAGAAACCATGCTAAAAGTACAACATGAGACTAAAATCAGCCACTTCAAAATTAGAAAATGGCACGAGTACTTTTGCTTGAGCACATGTGTTCCAGTGCTGCTTCTAGAGTATTCCATGGCTGCTTCCTTTGCTGGGCTCTCCCTGTTTGGTGAACAGGCAGTGCTGAAGGGATGCTTTGGGCACGTGGTGGAGGCTTTTCCTCGTGGCTTGGTTGGGTCTCTGCGTCCTCGTGCTCCAGGAATCAAGTGACATTTGAACAACTGCTGACTTACAGGACCTCCTCTGATCCCTCTCAGCTCCAAGCAGCTCACACTGACCAGATACCCTATGCAGAAAACACCTAAGCTTGGCCTGAACTAAATAAGTTAAAATACAAACTGCCAAGGAACCTTATCTTGGGGCATTGCTACCTTTTAACACCCAAAGCAAAAAGGGATTCAGACATTAACAGATGCGTGCAATCAAATTAACATTATAAATAATAATATCATGAGGGGCTTCCCCTTTTCTCTGATAGATGTTGTCCCCTGATGGAAGACCAGAGAAATAGGGGTTCTTTGTTTGCTTCTGTTTGTTCTGCACTTTTTTTGTTTTCACATTAACACAGAGGACAATTTTCTAGGAAACGCAGCCGACGTGTGGAGAGCAGCAGCGTGGGCTTGTTATAAACTGGAGGTGCTTCTTCCAGTTACTAACAGAGCTTCCTTTGGAAAGCCCCTTTTGTTGTATTTCAAATCAAAACACGCAAAGTCTGACATGAATGCATTCAGCTGGAAGTGCAGGCTGGGATGTTCCCGTGAAACAACCTCTTCATTGCTGTTCTTTTGTTACAGACCTGAGGCAGCACTGTGAGAGGTACCAGCCTTTCTGAAAAAACAGCAGCAACAATAAGCCCTTTCCACTTCCCATCCTTTTAAATATCTGGTTCAATCAAGAATGAGCTTGAGAATAAGAAGTTCAAGGAAAAATGGCAGCTGGAAGCCTGGTTTCACTTTGGACATGTGAGTGGATTCTTTCTTCTGAGGAGGACTGATCTCCTCCTGCAGCCTCTCCCTCAGGGAGCTTGTCATGAGCACCTTGTCCCTTCATCCAAGTCATCTCCTTCTGTGAAACCTTGTAAATCTTAATGGCACCCCCTCCTCAGCCAAATTTGACTGAAGTTATCCAGTGGGTTCAAAAATTATTGACACCATTCGTTAAAAAGGAGCTGATATACATATATGTACATATACCAAATGCTCAGTGTGCTTGTTTCAGTCTTACTTTATCTGGAAAACGGGCCAGAAAACTCTCCCTGTTGCCAGTTCTGGGAAAGTCTTTCACACACAGTGTTTTTTGTACTCACATACTTACTTTTTGTATCAGATACTCTGACCTCAGCAGTGGAACTTAAACCTTCCAAGCTGTCTCTTGTGTTGGTGCCTGTCCTTTTACTAGAGGAGCTTAGATAGGGGCTGAGCAGAGAAAAAATACCCAGAGAGGAGAGAAAAAAAGACAAGCAGAGCTCACCAATTGCCCTGACCATTATGTCATTTGAAACTGCATTTATAGATTGGGAGAATTGCTTAATGGCATATTATTACAGAAGATTGAGGTGTTTTCTAGCCCATTATTTAATTGGGAAAAACAGCAACGTGATACTCTGACATTCAAATACTTAGTTGTCTCTAGGCCTTCCAGGCATATCTACCCCAACAGCTTTTATAGCTAAGAGAACTTAGAAACTGAGCATTACAGGGAAGGGAGGAGAGTGGAGTTACACATCAAATATACTCCCTGCAATGTGCTGAAAATGCCTGGGGTTTATACAGTGGCATTCTGGAGAAAGAAATCCAGGTAGTTAGTCAAAAAGACAAGAGTTACAGCTGTGAGTTAGAGAAGATATTTACACAGGATCCCTGTGGAATGCTCACCTTTGGTGCTCATCTGTGAGGCAGTGGGGTAGCTCTGGGTCTTTAGTAAAATAATCATTTGTCCAACTTTCAATCTTCCCTCATTTCTTTCGGTTTTCTTTTTGCTGATAAGGGTGAGAAGCAACAACAAAAAAATTAAAACCGAACCCAGAGGTGTGAGAATTCAAATTGTCATGATTTTCCTGTGTACCTCAGAGAGGTTTTCAAGGCACTCTGCTCTTTTTGAAGTGGCTAACCTTCACTTCTGACAAAACTCCTAGGGCAGATAAGAAGGCTTCATGACACATTCAATCAACTGAAATCTTTCCAGGCACCAGTGACAAATGAAAATGAGCAAAATGGTGAGTAGCAAACCTAGGCATGATTGTCAGCAGGAGGAATTTATTTCCAGTGGGATTGGAGGAAAGGGAAGGATTCTCAAGAGGATGGTCTGTGACATGTTGGTGTTTAAGTGGCAACATTTGCAACATGTGGCAAAATAGGTAAAGCCTAAACCTTGGTGGAGTCACCCTGGCTGGTTGTGAGTCTTCACCCTCTCATGCAAACAGGAGCAAAACGACTGTATTGAAAAAATGAGTGTTTTTTACTGGGAACTCTCCCGGGGCTTGGTCGTGGCTCTCGAAAAACTGGCGGCTGGATGGGGCAGGGCTTGGCCTCGTGCCTGGCCCAGACTTTGGGTTGGTGAAGTGCTCTCTGAGGGCAGCCCAGATGACTCAGGAGGCACCAGCACAGCCAGCCCTGAGCCTCAGGGTGCAACCTGGGTGCTCACACCCGACCCACAGACACCCGACAGCGCCGGGACCCGGCGCTGAGGCGGTTTGGTTTTGTTCTTTTTTTAGGTTTCTTCTGGGGGCAGCCCCCCCCATCTCTCCTTCCTAAATTGTTTTCTCACCTCGCTTGAGTCTCAAAGCCTGTCCCTTGCTTGTCTTGAACAGCTGGAATGGCCCTGGACTGAATGAACAGACACGGAGCAAGGCTGGGCTGGAGCCTGGAAGGATCTCGGCTTCCAGAAGGAGCAACCTGGCTGTGCCACCTGCAATGCTGGGAGCCAGGGATATCTAACACCACCTCAGATGGCTGCCTGCAGCCTGGCACTGGCACTGCAGCTCCTGCTGCTTCTCCAGGACATCCAGACATCCCTGCAGGTAAGGCAGGGAGGCACCAGGATCCTGCAGCCCCTCAGGACAGCAGGAGCCTGGGGAGGTCCGGGGGCAGGGCTGGGGGCTGGAGAGTGGGTGTCCACAGACACAGGGTTTGTGCAACGTGGGGGGATAAAGGCATAAAGCAGAGCTGCCAGGAGAGTTTGCCCTCTCTGGGAACTCTGCAGGCAGGAGCAGGGGCTACGAGCTGGGATCTGCATCCCCATGTTGGCATTGCTGCAGCTCCTGCAGCTCCAGGCACATCGCAGCTGGGGAGGGAGGGAGGGAGGGAAGGTTTGCTTGGGGTAGGGGGGCTTTTATTTCTGCCTGTGTGCTCTGTGAAAGGCACATTCCTTGCAGAGCTTCGTTCAGAGCTGCAGCTCATTCTGCTGAGGCGAGTCAGGAAAGGCAAATTGAAAGGTGTAGAGGCAAAACCATAACAGACCTTCCTCTTTACACCCCCCCCCCCCGACTCTGACTTCCTCATGAATCCACTATTCTTTCTGAATCAAAATCACTTAAAATAGACACGGCCCTGCAGCTGCACTCGGTGATGCTGTAGGTGCACACCAGCTCCCTGCTCAGATCGTATCAGCTCCTGTGGCTCTGCTGCCACCCCGACTCACCCCCCTCCTCCCGTGGGTCACCTGGCAACGAGCCCTCAGCCCCTGGCATAAATCCAGGTGATTTCCCTGGCCAGCACCGAGGCATGCACCTTAAAAAAAACAAAGGTCAGTCACAGAGACTCTCTGCACAGGTACAGTTAAGTAGGTGAGTAATTGCCCTCTGTGCTGGATCCTGAAACATATGAATATATGAAACATATGAATATATGAAATATATTCATATTTTCCCTTGCTGGGGAAATATGAATATATATTAACCCAAGAGACCCGTCTGTCTGAATAATAAAACATCACTTGGGCTGCCAGGAGGTATTTTACAAGACATTGGCTCCAATCAGATCTTTGAAAATAACCAAGTCCTGCATCCTCTTCATAGGCATTTGAAAAAGGTCCTCTTGGCTCTTTTGGTAAGAGTAGGAGTTTGCTCTTGCATCTGTAGTTGTAAATTCCCCTCCCACGTGGCAAGTTTGCTCTACTTTCCCCTCCTTATCTGTCCTGCCACTGTCTCCTTCCTGAAGTACAGAGGGATTGGAGTCCTTGCTCACCTGGGGAGTACTTGGGAGGGCATTCAGATAAACTTGTCTGGCCTCCTGAATGCAAACTGTTTTAGCAGAAAGGCAAAAGAAAAAAAAAAGGGATGATATTTTTGCTAGTTGATGTCACTTCTGGTGTTTTTTTCACAAAATGAAAGGAGCTGTGAGAAAATCTGGGTTTTTTGGATAGTCATTGTCAACATGCAGACTCACTGCAAAATCATCAGCTGAGACAAGCAACTGGCTTTTACTGTCCTGCATTGCCTCAATCACAGAAATACCTGCTTTTACTGATACTGGAGTACAGGTGATACTATTTAATGTGAGCTAGTAACAGCTTACTGGTCATATTTTTAAGCCATGTTCCACCTTACTTAAGTCCACAGTTTGGGTTTTGTTTCTTTTTCTATTCAGTGAACTCTCATTTGTTGATAATGTCTTTATTATCAAACAGATGGAGCTTGACAACTTGAAGCCTTAGATTACCAGCTTCTTCAGTACTGTCAGAATTTGGCTAGAAGCTTGACAGGCAGTTAACTGTTTTGCTGCAGTATTAGTCAGTTCTAGAATAGCCACTGCTGGTAGAAATCTTTTTTTTACTGTAATGTGCTTTCTTCCTGACTTACAGCTCATTTGTAGCAAATTTCGTGCTCTGCCTCACCATCACTTTTTCTCTATGAGCTCAAAAGGCCATAAATAAATGAGTCAAACCTTGTCCTGACTGAATTGCAGAGTAGCCCACTGAATTCAGCACCATCTTTACAACTGCCATTATTTAATTTGGAATAGCAAACATGTTTGTAGAACCAAGGAAAGTGAGAAGAGCTACAAAAAGCCTACTTTCTAAAACAAAGTCTCACAAGAAAGCACTGAAAAACCCAAATGCTTTGTATCTAATATGTCTGCTCTATTTAATTGGGCCTTGATCTGCAACACATTTAGAAAAGAAAAAAAAAATAATTGGCCTGTTAGGTCACTGAAAGCCTAAACCAGGGGATCCCTGGGGATGCTGACACAGAGCAGTCCAAGTAGGATAAGCAGTCCAAGTCCAATTGTGGTCTTTCACCACGTGTATTCCAGCTCCTGCTAAATCCCAAAGCTTCATTTGAAGAGCATGCAAGAAAAATTAGTGAGATTCAGCCTCTGTCTTGCTCCAGTTGAACAGCACACTGAATCCAATTGAAGAATTCCTTGTACTAGAGCAAAACCAGATGTAAATTACTGATCTGACAGAGACTCACGACTTGTTCAAATCTGGTCAAAAGGTGTGGACAGATTAATTTTGTGGTGAGAAGCTCTCTGCTGCACTGGGCATTGTTTGCTGCTCCAGCTCCCCTTCCTCTCAGCTCACACATCTATCTGTTCCCCTGCAGCTGGCACAAAGCAGCATCACCTCTGCACTGTGTCCTCCTGTCCAACCCTGATCAAACCCACTCTGACCCGGGACACAGACGCAGAAATAACGGCTCTGAGGTTTCCCATCACAGCTGACAGAGACCTGTCACACCCAGGGCAGGAGTCAAACAGCTTTAGGATTTAGAGGGGAAAAGCTGACAAGAATGGGGACATGGTGACTGAGGCTGAGCATTGATATGTGTGTGATTTATCACTGAAAGGGTCCGTGCTAATTTTTATACTCACGAAACGCCCCTACTGAACAGGGGCAACCTTAAAGCCATTTTGCAGGTAACTTGGATTAGAAGTGGTGGTGCCCTCAGAAGGTGGTTTGTCAGCCATAGAAATCCTGCCATGATTTGTCAAAGTGAATTCTTTTCACAGCTCAGTGAACAGTACAAGGCTGTGCTGGATGCTTGAGAGCAGCATTTGCTGGGGAGGTGTGGATGATGTGTATAATGTAGCTGTAGGGTAGAGCTGCCCTCCTGTGGAGAGGGGGGAAAGAAGGTTCAGTACTCTCTTTCTTATGTATATTTTCATAAATTGTGTGGTATCCATATCTAGTTCATGCAGTAATTTATCACTGCACTGGCATCAGGTCAAATTCATAATCATAACATGCACTGCTGTATCCAGGAGCAGAATCTAACCCTGAACTCCTGATTTCCATATTTTAGAACAAGGTAACTTTTTAAAAAGCTGCCCTTCCCTCATACTTTTACACAGGCACTCTTCCTTCATTTAAACCCAGAAACACACAGATATACTGTAAGCTTGTGTGCTGCATAAATAATTCAAGAATTTTGTTCCCACCCTGGTTTAAAATTCAGCTGCATTTGCAGCCAGAGTTGGTTGCCCAGGAAGAGAAAATCATGTGTTTGTGGTGACTTACAGAGAATCCAATCCAGTCCGATTAGCTACAGCCAGGATGCTGTAGCTTCTTAAATTTTCTTCCTAAAAGCAGTTAATTCACTTCATATCACTGTGGTGGCTCAGGAATGACCCCTGGTGTGGTGGCTGGTGGTTTGGTGTCGCTCACTTGGGGCTCAGTGGCTGCCTGGCCAGGCTGGAGCTGCACACAGAAGTGAGGAGATCCCACTTCCCTTTCCTGCAGTCTGGGGCTTCCTCTTCCGAGCAGGAAAACACGGGGTGCACGTGTGGAAGTGAGATCTGAGTCAGGCTGAGCAGGCAGAGCCTTCTGCTCTTCCTCTGCAGTCAGACAGGAAAAATACTCATAGGGAGGTTCTGGCCCAGGGGTGATGCAGAGATGTGTCACATTCTCAGTTCTGTTACTGGTGGAGATCAATGAAATTTAATGGTTTCAATGTGTTTCTATTTCTTGCCCTTCTGTTCATTTCCTCCTTGACTGAAAGTTCTGTTTTCTGATGGAAGTTAAATAATTTCTGTGTGTTAAACAGACTAGGCTGTGAAGTGAGTTAGGTAGTGAGATTCTGCACAGTGTACAAAGGCAGCAGGTTTTATTTCAGAGCCCAGTGGGGAATTCATCAGCAGAAAGTGAGATGGAGAGTTTCTGAAATATTTAACTGCTCTACCAGTATCGTGTCGGAAAATCTCAGGGGAATCTGCTGATTGATTCTTCACCAAAAAAATCGCTGTTTATGCCTTCTAGCAAAAAGTGAAAATGAAATTCAGATAATAACAGTTTTAGGGGATTATTAAGGGAGATGCCAAATTCAAAAATCAGATTTTCTCATCAGAACACTTGTGGCACCGTAATTTCCCAGAGCATGTGGTGGCCCAGCCATACAAAAACAAAGTCTTGTTATAATGTTTCTTGTTCCAATTCGTAGCCCAGTCTCGTTTTCTAAGCCAATATTAGAACTATTGTGTGGTGGGTTTTTTTTAACTAAACCAGTATCGGTTATGTAGTAACGAAAGGTTATTTCTGAAAACCTTCACTCACAGCAGAAGTGGGATGAGTTATTTGAATAAGAGCTTCATTGTGAGAACATTTGCAGCATTCTTTCCAAGGCAAAGCCCTCTTGTGCTCTCAGTGTAGGATTTGCCCCTAAATGAGAAATAAAACAGTTAATTGGTTTATAATAAACACATCCTTAGGTTGATAAACTCAAGCATTATGACTGCATGAATAACAGAAAAACCTCTTTGCTGCCAAGAGTTACTTCTGTGCATTGCAGCCCGTCTGCCTGGGTTCAGATGATGCTGAGTATGGCACCACCTTTTACTCCACTGCACACAGAGCTGGAAATCCTTATCTCAAATGAACATGGGACCATTTCAGGACAATGATTTTTATCCTTTTTTTTTTTTTTTCTAACTGCTGCGAGATTTATAAAGGAGATGGAGGCATTAATTTAGTTGCTTTGGGGATACTCGAAGTTTCAAAAAGCTGTGGGCTTTTTCTTACCATCTGCAGCTGCCATCCCTTGGGACAGGTATTGGGATCTGCCCTAGTACAGAATTAGTTGTTTTCTGATTGTGTCTTTTGCCTGTCTCACTTTCTAGACATCATTAACCCCATCTCATTCCTGTGACACACGTGGGAATTGGTTCTATGATGAAACTTCACAAAGCTGCTGTTACCAGTGTCCCTCAGGTCAGTATGTTTATAAAATAATCAAATTTACATGGAGTCTTTCTTGGAGAGACAGTAGGAACTCTGTGTATCTGTAGAATTGCGTTTTGTCCCTGAAAAAAAGAGCAATTTCATGAATCACTGTCTAATTGAATCTAGATGTGAATCTGTTCTCCACTGCCCTGCTCCTGTGCATGCAAACAATGCGCAAATTGCAAACTAGAGAACTTGGCAGACTTTTAATGTGCTTTTTATCACTTCACTGGACACTGAAGCAGCCAGAAATAGGCAGAATTCATTTCAGCTTCCCTCGGGGTGTGAAATAGCACAGTGAAATTAGACTCGGGGAGTTTCTGCTCACAGACAAACAGTACAAAATGAAGGCATGGAAAATCTGATGTTATTCTCACAGTCACAACAGCTTAGAAAGTGTCTCACGTGAGGGAGGAAGGGAACAGCCCTTGTCTGGGGACACTGAGAGCTTTGCTAGAAGCTGGTTGTGACTCAAAGGCGCATGAGGTCAGAGCAGGAAACACCTTGGTGAGACAAGAGCTCTGGAAATGTCTGAAACTGCCCCTATTGGCCAAAAAACCCCTCGGTGGGTGGGGCATTTTGTGGTGCTTCACCACCATCAGTATCTTCTCTCAGAAATCTGTTCTTTTTGTTTTGTTTGTCTTAAAGGAAATTTCTGACATTTATTTGAGCTCTGATAATACAGAGGGGTTTAGTGTTTGATTACCAGCATTTTTGTGCAGTTCCCTCAGGACTCCCACTGGGACATCCTGTACTGCTGGCCACACCTTCCTTCAGAAGCTGTACAGGTAAACAAGAGCAAGGGATGGAGAAAATAAGAAAAGAGGGAGCTTGTGACTTAGAGACAGTCCCAAGGAAAGCTCTTTTCTCCTCCAAAACCATTCCTTGCCGAAGCTCCTGTCAAGACAGATGTCATAGTGAGGTTTGTGAGAAGCAGAGATCTGATTTACATCAATAAGCCACCAGTATCCATCATTTCACCTCTGCTGATTCTTGTCACTCGTTCCTTGGCTACGTCCTCATGTCAGTCCTGGACATCTCCTCGCATTCTCTCCACAATAAAAGTTATAAGAATCCTTTTTCATTTTAATCTTCCACTACTCCTCCAAGCATATCTGCTGCAAACAGCTGCTCACTGCAAAGGAAAAGCAGCTTTTCTAAAAGTCCTTTGAATTGAAGGAAAGAGGAAACCATGAAAACCAATCACCTGGGAACTCAGGAATGGCAGGACAGTTGCCCTCACTGCAGACTTGGTGGTCTTGTCTGTCAGCAAATGAGTTGCCACGTGCCCATTCTGCAGCAGCCCATTCCAGCTGGGATAATGTCCCACCCCAGGACAGTTCTGAGCCTTTCATGCTCAAATGGGAAGGGCAAAAACGTGCTAGAGAAACCAAATGACTGTGGTAGGGTGTCTAACAGGTAAAGGAGCACACAAGACACTTCAGGGTGGTTGTCTCCCATTATTCTGAACAGGTGCCCGGCATATTTTGATTTGTTGATTTATTTTTTTTTTCCTCCAGGCTCTGTTAAAAAGAAAGCTTGTCCTGAGAACCCAACTGCAGACTGCATGAGGTGTGGGCCTGGGCAATTTGTGAACACAGAAGCCTCGAAGCTACGATGTGATGCCTGTGTCTTATGCAAAAGAGGTTTGCTTTCCCCAACACATATCTCACAATTATATTCCCTCTATGTATTTTATTTGCACTTTGTTCGTATTTTATCCATTTAGAATTTCCAGCAGCAGAATTATCCATCCTTGGTTACTGATTTAGAGAGCAGAATGATACCTTGGCACATTATCAGTGTGGCTTCCTGTGTGACCCGGGGACTACCTAAAAACTCTTCTCCAGTGCTATCCAAGTCTGGATTCTACTTTCTGTCTTATATCACAAGCCACTGTCTAAAGGCTTCTCCAATTATTCATGACTTAAGTTGCCATCGTGTGGCTTTAAACTGACAGAGAGTAGGTTTAGATTAGATAATGGGAAGGAATTCTTCCCTGTGAGGGTGGGCAGGCCCTGGCACAGTTGCCCAGAGAAGCTGTGGCTGCCCCATCCCTGGAAGTGTCCAAGGCCAGGTTGGACGGGGCTTGGAGCAGCCTGGTGGAGTGGAAGGTGGATGGGATGACAGGGCTGGAACGAGATGAGCTTTAAGGTCCCTTCAACCCAAACCATTCTGGGATCATGAGGAGTGCCAGCACCTTGTTCTGCCTCCTGAGCCTCCTGGTGTCGCTCAGCTTTGGCCCCCTTTTGCATTTCCCTCGCAGGGTGATCCTTTGTCACTGCCTCTGTTTCTTGCCCCCAGAACTCGACCTTGTGGAGAAGGAGCCCTGCTCCTTCAACTCCAGCAGCGTCTGCGAGTGCAGGCCGGGCCTGTTCTGCCAAACATCCGCCCCACACACCTGTGCCCGGTGCCAGCCCCACACCACCTGCCAGCCTGGCTTTGGGGTCCGAGTCAGAGGTAGGAATTCCACTCTACCTTTCCCGCTCTTGGCCGTGGGCCTTGACCTGGTGCGTTTTGGTTGGTCAGTCCCCAGTCATTGTTTTTATTCAGGCACCTCAACACGTGATGTCACTTGTGAAGAGTGCCCTGCTGGGACCTTCTCTGACCAAAGCTCCAGCACTGACAGCTGCAAGCCCCACACGGAGTAAGTCCCTAGTTCTTTAACGTGACTGATTGATTAGCTGAAATTAATAAAGGATGAAATGGGACACGCCAATTCTGGTGCAAAGTATACAAACTTATCTTAGAGGCACTGGAATAGCTTTGGGGCCAGGAGCAGAGGTTAGAAAGCCTCTCTCTGTAGCTGTTGCACAGTCCCTGGAGTGAAGGGAGGGAAGGAGGGAATCCCTCTTGCCTTGTTTTTAGTTTACAGTGGAATTCTACCCCGGGTGAGTGTCAGGTTTGCATCCAGGTCAAGAATTAATGCCACGGGGGTGAGAAGAAGGTTAATGGCTTTGACACTGAAAGCAATAATTGAGGGTAGTACAAAAATTACCAAAGGGATGTTTGTCACATGGAAAATGCTCCTCTCTTGTACCATGGCAGTTTCTGTAGCACTGACACCCGTTCTCTTTCATTCCCAGCTGTGCCAAGTTAAACAAAGTGGCACTAAGCCAAGGAAATGCCACACATGATCAGGTTTGCCTGGACCAATCGCCCACCTATCTCACCCAAAGCCCTTTGTCCACGAGATTCAGCAATGAAACAAATCACTCTGACCCAAGGAGCCTTGAGGAGAGCCTGGTGACCATTGCTGGTGGTGACCTTCTAAGTGCCACGACAACCAAAAACCCCAGTTCAACTCCTGAGGGGAAAGATCCGACTGACACTTTTCCCACCTCAGCCAAGGGGGAGATGACAATGGGAGGTAACAAAGCAGTTACTCTGTTTTATTAAAGCTCATGTTTTATTGGGAGATATCTTTGGTAAACACACTTTTTATGTGGGAGCTTCCTGCAAATGCCCTATGACTTGTGAAACGATGTCCATGGGTCTGTGTCCACACACATGGATCTACTCAGAGCTCCTCCTCTGCCCTTCCTTAACCTTTCCTGTGCTCCCTTTCTGTGCTGCAGGTGTAGTGCTTTGGGCAGTGGTTCTCTGTGTGATAGTGCTCCTCGGGGCCATGCTGTTTTTTTGGAAATGGAAGGTTTGCAAGAAGCGGATCCTCGTCCTCAAAGGAAAGCGTGAGTTTTTAAAGCTCCAATACCTGGGATGCTGTTTGAGCTCCCAGTATAAGCCAAAGGGGAACTCAAATATCCCAGAATTTTATGGAGGCCCCTGGGGAAGAGGATGTTCACTATAGCCTGGTGAAGGCAGGCCAGATAAGGGTTTTAGGCAAGAGGAATACGAAATATTGAAGCAGCTGTGAGTTTATGGAGGGCAGGGAAAGGGTAACCAGCAGTTTCTTCTCTCAGCACAGATTAAATGATACCTGAAGTGTTGTGTGACTATTTGTTGGTTCTGGGAATGGGGATGGGCTTTGAGCATGAGAGGAAGAGTGATTTTTACTGACACTGACTCTCTGTAGCTTCACCTGTCAACTGTGTGGGGTGTGCCTGTGGAACCACATTCCCTCTTTATAGAAAGCAGGATGTGCACGTTGTAGGTTGGTTGTAGATCTGTGGGTGTGGCAGAGCTGTTAGAGCCTGCAGGCTCCACGGGGACTTTGACTAAGTGGAAGGTTTCTTTTCTCAGCACATCTGCATTCTGTCATCGCACACAAATACGGCCTCAAATCACCAGGTGAGTGACTGATGGACCAGCACTCTGAAGAATAAGTGGAGAATTTTAATATGGAGCTTTATTTTATAGAGTTTTAACTTAAAAAGTGGGAGTTTTTCATGTCACACCTCTGTCTCTGCTGCCATGCACAAGGCCAGCGCTGTCCGGATGTCACCGGGTGCCACCAGATGGCACTTTGTTCTCACAGTATATGAAGGGTTGGGTGATGGGTCAGTGCAGGAAAGCAGTCAATTAATTTCTGGACAATAAAAAAACAAAACAAAACAAAACAAAAAACTGTGTGTTAGCCATAGCAGCCTGTACAGATCCCCCAAAGCACACACAGTTTGTCCAATGAGCTGATCCCCTCTCATCATCCCAGTCTATCCCATTGATAGATCTAGTCTGGTGTGTTAGGTTCTCCCAATCACCACAAATCAGAGCATTTAATACTCATTTATTCAGGAATATGGTTTAAAGCAGCTTAATTTTCCCAAAATGGATTTTTTTTCCCCTCCCTCACTTGCATTACACAAAAACCCTGTTACTGTGCAGCATTTCCGAGCTGATGCACTGAAAATAAAGGTAGTTGCACATCAGGGTGGAATTAGATAGTAGGTCTGAGCTCATCATGCTTCACAGTGCTGCAGGATGTTGTATACTCCCTCCTCCTCACCTCTCTTCTTTCCCCAGCATTCCCTGGAATCATCTAATGAAATTACACATAAAATCCCATCCCCTTAATATTCATCTGACCACACGATGAACTGATCTAGCTTGTTAATCCTGTAGAAAGTTATTAACTTTTTTTTTTAATAAACCTGTCTTGTGCTTATCTCGACAAGTTTCATCAGTTCATCATTTCATCAGATGAATTCCAGTGGTGTGGGGAGGGTGATGCAAAGGGCCTTGGGCAGAGCAGGATCTCACAGTCTTGGCAGCAACACTTTGCTGGTTCACCTCAGCTGTGTCATTTGAGGGTGCCCTCAGTGCCAGGAAAACCGTGGTGCAGGTGGGTTGGGCAGTGGAGTGGTTTTGGGCAGGGCCAGGTGGCCTTTCAGAGCAAACATTAACATTCTTGTGACTGTGTGAATTTTCTTCTGGTAATTTTTCCTCTCTCCATTGCAGGTTCCGACCCAGGGGACAAATGTGCAGTAAGTGTGAACAATATTCCAAACCAGATCCTTTCCAGGCCAATGCAAATAGTGTTATTTTTAAATGTCCTGCCACAGAGTGCCAGGCTTTTTGCTTGGACTTTCCTCTACAATGTGTGATCATCAGGCTGCAGCAACCAGCTGTACTAGGACTTGCTACTTTCGTGTCTTGGGCTGGGTTTAATGTGGTGTTAAATAACGTGATGCTGCCAATCTTGCTTGTGAGGGGAGTATTTGGTTTGGTCTCATGCCATTAATGGTGCATTCCATGGGACAGGATCCAAAATCACAGGATGAACATGCCCTTTCTTCATTCTGGGAGAAATTTGTCTGTCAGTCCCTACTTTGTCTGTCAGATATTAATTTTTCCAATGACTCTTGTGGCAATCATCTATTATAATTTTAGAGTGTCATTGCTAATTCTTGAATTGTGAGGAGTTTCCACTCTTGCTTCCTGAGTCAGACATGAGCAAGAATTTTAAACTGCACAATGTTTTTTGTGGGGTTTGAGTTTGTTTTTTTCCTTTCCCAACCTTCTGGAAACACAAATAGAGCTAGGAACCTTTGACCTCTCTCAGATTCTGGCTCCTCTTTTAAAGAACTGTTTGTAATTAATTCCTCACCTAATAGGTAGTCTGTGCTTGTTAGTTCTACCTGAGGTTCTGCTGAGGCAATTCCATTTTGAAGTTAAACCAGTTCAACCTCTGGCTCGTTCTGTTCTTCCATGGGAGTGTGGTAGATCTTTGCAAAACCTAAGAGGTAGCTAAACCATATATTTTCTTCAGTGGAGATGATGGACATTCTTACAAATGTCATCAAAAATCTGTAAATTTAGAACGCTGGTTTTTAAATATAGGCTTAAGTGATGCAGGAACCTGCTTCAAAGAAATTTAAGTTCCTATACCTGTCACACACTTCAGAATTCTTCCCTCCCTGTGACAGTGGTGCTGTGAGGTACATCCTGTTGTCCTGCCTGCCCTGGAAGGGTTCTGCAGAATCCTTGCCATCTTCACAGTGTTTTTACATCCACCCCACTTTTGCTCTCTGTTTGTGTTGGCAGAAGCTCCCCCTGACCATTGAGAGTGGGCCAGAAGGGAAGCAGTTAATTGGAAGAACCCTCCCTTTGGAAACCAACAATAACTTGGTCTCCAGCACAGAAAAAGCACAGAGTCCCCATCGGGGTGTGGCTGAGGTGACACCCAGCAGTGGCAATGGCCCAGACTGTCCTGTGGATTCTCGAGTCAGAGACCACACCAACAACAGAATTGGTGAGTCTTGCTTTTTTTTCCCCTTCTCTCTTGTTTTTCCAGTTTTTCAGCCATGTCACATAACGTCATTCCAAGATTACCAATAAGATGCAAAGTGTTCAAATCTGCTAATAAAGACTGGAGCTGAATCTCCAGAATCTTTGACACACAAATATCTATTCATCTGAATATAACACTTTTTTATTTTCATGTTTGCCTTAGTCACTTATGAATCTGACAGAAAATTCCCTTCTTCCTCCTATTCATTCCAGAAGATGTAAATTTACACAAGAAATTTGAAAACCAAAAATGTATCAGCTGGGAAATGATGTTCTGAGTGGGAGTGGTAGTTCACATCACTAAACTACCATTTGCTTCTCTGGGGTTCACATTAATAGCTGGAAATGTGTCTCCCATGTATTCCCATGAAGTCTTTGACCATGGCACAGGGTGGGAGATAAAGCCAGGCAAGGGAGCTCACTGAGGGGGAGAATTGTTACCTGAGACATTCTGGCAATGTTTCCAAACCCAATTTTGAGGTTATTTGAAAGTGTTATTTTTCATATTACAAGAGCTGACCTTTCCTTACGAAACGAGCTTTCTGTTTTTACTGTGAGTGATGGATTGGGATGAATGTGATGATTTGACTTACCATATCCAAATACCTCCAAGCAATTGTGACCTGCAGTGTCTGATTCTGAATTAAGTGCAGTGGTCCAAGCCATTGCAAAGGCCTTATTTACCTTTTTGTGAAGGAGTATGTATAACAAGGTGGACACAAAGTTCAAAGCTATCCCAGAAAATTTTGCAGTTTATTCTCAGCTGGAAAGAATGTCATTTCTTTGCTGGTCTTAAGACCCCAGAATTTCTGTGCAGTGCTGATCCCTGCCCAAAGGCTGCTTTCAATGCAGGTGGTGTTGTTTCTTGAAACAGCAGGGAAATAAACCTTGGATTCTTTATATCTGGGCGCCAATTAATTGCTTCTTCTAGCAGACTTTTGTGAGTATTTTCTGCCTTTTCTGCTCTGTCCTTCTGTAGTCCTAGCTCAGTGGCTTCATCCCATGGAAGCTCAATCTACTTGACCTGGAATGCCCGGAGTCCTAATAAAAAATGTTGCGTGATAAGGAGCCATCTCTGGGGCCAGCAGTGATTGTTCACTACCCTCAGCACTCCTTTTTTCCTTCCTCAGAAAAGCTCTACATCATGAAGGCCGACACTGTTATCGTGGGGTCCGTTGCAGAAGTGGCCGGTGGCAAAAACTGCGCTGCCAGAGGATGTGAAAGCAACGCTGACGCCCAGGAAATCATGGAAGAGGAACTGGGAATGCACTACCCAGAGCAGGAAACAGAGTCCTTTCCAGGGAATGATGTAATGGTTCCCGTGGAAGAGGAGGGGAAGGAATTCCACCACCCCACCACTGCCACAGAAAAGTGACAGCCCATGGAGATGATGAGCTACAGGAACATCCAGTGTTACACTAAGTCTGACTCTGTGACAAGTGCCTTGGGTTACTGGGAGACTCCTGGAAAACACTGAAACACACTCAAACAAGGAGAGCTAGAACCTCCTTCATCTACCAAATGACAGGAGTATCCAAACCGTTGGCCTTCATAGCTGACGTCAAATATTCCTCTTTCCCTCTCTCTCTCCCAATATTATGCTGGAAACAAATTTGAATCAAAGCTGCACAATTCAGAGGACATCTGGATGTCAGCTGAAGTTTCACAGCTTGCTTTCTCTGTGTGAAGGAATGGACTGAAACCTATGTCTGGCTACTTCTATTAGCTATGAAAATTCTGGCCAGGGTTCCGAGTCAAGCTTGAGATTCAGCCATGAACGTCGTTGAATAGGTTGTTTTACTTCCAGTACTTCCAAATTTGTCACATATTTTGCAACATCTGGCATTTTCTTAAGGCCTCAACTCTTGACTGAAAGTGATGACAACTTCAGTTTTCCCTAGCACAAACAACTCTCAGGATTGTGGACTTCATGTTTTTTGAGGAAATAGGATCAAAAGGTGCCACACAGGCTCAGAAAACGGAAGGCAAATAAAACTAATTGAAGTCCACTGTACTTCAGGCCATTCTTTCTAGGTTTTGAAGCCTGATTCATGTTTTTGACTACTTCAAATCATCACTAAGTGTATGAAATGGCCTCTTCTGATGGAAACTCACTGAATATTTGGTTATTGGGTGACCTACAGGTTTAACCTGGTGTGGAGCTTGTAAAAAGAAGAAAAACTGTTTTTCTACAGAAAGAAAAGACTGAAAGAGAGGCACAGCAATTATTTCCTATAAAATCTACTCGGTTTAGAATTGTTCATCATCATCAGGGTGACACTGATTTGCATATGCTTTAAAAACAAAGCTGTTTTGTGGTCGACTGGCTCGTGTTATGCTATTTTTCAGTCTTTCATGCTGCTTGTTCAGTAACTGTAAATGTAATAGAGCTGACTATACTTTTGCAGAGGACAATGGAAAATGAGCAAGATGATAAAGTGTGTCTTAATAGTCAAAAAAAGGAACCACAAAAACCATTGCTTGCTTTGCAGTTTTGCCCTGGATGAAGTACTGTAAAAACAGCTGGGCAGCTGCAGTGACTTCTCTTAGAACACACAAAAGGAACATAAGGGCATAAAAACACCTTCTTGGGCCAGTCTAGGAGTATGAGCCCAAAATTTTATCTCTGGCAGTTGCAGTCAGGGATGTCAGTTAGGAAGAGCACATCAGCCTGGCTAATATCTGCTGGCTAATATTTCTCACAGTTCTGCAGCAGCAGCTGGAATTGGATCAGGACGTCCAGGAGTTTGTCTGAGCCTTTGCTATTCACTCATATTGCCACTAGTTTTTCTTCCCTCTTTTGAATTTCCTGGTACAATCTTTCCTCCATAAGCACCCGTGGCAACAAGTTACAGATACCATGCCCCGTGTAAAGAAGGACTTTTAACACTTTTAAACTGGCCTTTTTATTTCAGTGCCACTAGTTCTTGTCTTACAGAAGTCAGTGGCTTGTTTTTGTTGGTTTAGGTTTTGTTTGTTTGTTTGTTTGTTTGTTTGTTTGTTTTGCAACAGAGTTGCTTTTGTGATTCTTGATTTTGTGATTGTATCCTCCTCAGCCTCCAAGCCGAATTCCCATCTCCTCCTATTTCTCATGTAACTTAGATGCTCCACTGCCTTGGTCACTTCAGTTGACCTCTTCCACATCTACTTTAACTTCACTACATACTTCATTTTAGAAAACACCAATTTGTGAACCGACAAACTGAAGAACCACTTTCACCTGGCTGTGGTTGTTCAGGGCTGTTCTGCAATTACAGCTAATTGTACCTCTCAGCTCTATATATAAATTAATGTTTTTTACTGGAGCAGCTTTCTAGGTGAACCGTATGCATTGCAACCTGCTGGATGTGTTATAGCTGGTTTGTTTAATAATGCTGGTAATCTCTGAATTAAAAGTTACATGGATTTTAAGCCATGGCCATGCTTTTCTTGTTTGGTATGTAAATGTTTCATTGTTGATAATTTCAGTACCTGTATCGGTCACAGAAAAATATTTTTGCAGAAGAAATATTTTTGCAGAAGAAATATTTTTGAAGAAGAAATATTTTTGCAAGAAGGCCACTTGAAGCTCAT